TACAATATATTTTGTTGAGACAGGTGCCACTACACAACATGGCTGTTAAAGGATTGCTTATGATCAAACAGGACTCCTAGGTCATTTGATGTGGAAATTCGATCCAGAGCTTGTAGTCGTAGAGAGTAGGAAACCAAATGTGGAGCACGGCGGTGAAACGTCATAAGTTTGCACTTAGAGAGGTTCAAAAACAGTAGGTTAGACGAACACCACTTATTCGAGTACTAATCGGAATACGAAAAACAGATTTTGACGTCATCAGCATACATTAATCTAACTGAGTGCAAAATAACTTGAGGTAAGTCATTCACAAACAGATTGAACAGCAGCAGACATAAATGACTTCCTTGAGTAACACCTGAGGTTAGGTTAGGTTAGGTTGAGGCGGCTGTCGGGATCGTCAGAAACCCGACACATCTAGGCCGGTTTCCTTATGAAGCCTGCGATCCATCTGGGACTGATTTTAGACATGTCCGAAATGTCAATTAGGAAAGGTGCGCCCAAGTATTGAAGTCTCCTTCTACTGAGAGTTAGACAGGTGCAGAAAAGATGATCCACAGTCTCCTCCTCGTCCTCATCTCTACAGCTCCGACAGAAGTCGTTATAGGGGGCACCCAGCCTGTTTGCATGGGTGCCTATTAGCCAATGTCCCGTAAGGGAGCGTATGACTGAGCTGCACCTGCTCCTACTGAGTTTGCAAAGCTCATCGGTGCGCTTCCTAGTAATGTTAGGCCATGTTTGCCGAGTTATGCGACATAGTGGCACTTTTTGCCATCTGTCATTTATTAGTTGACTAAAATGTTCTTTTATTTTGAGCTTGCAGGTGGCCATTGGCATACAAATATCCTCCTTATCATGGAGAAGGGGGATTGTTGTACCAGCTCTGGCCAGCTCGTCTGCTATACAGTTGCCTTCAATGTCCTGGTGGCCCGGGACCCATATTAGGCTGATGACAAACTGATAAGCCATCTCATGGAGAGATTTGCGACAGTTTGCCACGGTAGCCGAGCTTGTTGTTATCGCATTCAGCGATTTGATCGCAGCTTGGCTATCACTATAGATATAGATATTGGAAGACACTGCAGTGATCTGGGAGCCTGAAAGAGTGTCTTATGTTAAGCTGCTCGGAGTAGATTCCTCCTCCGACCTTGTTGTCCAGCTTTGAGCCATCAGTGAAGATTCGAATGGCTCCCTTTGGACCAGGTGGTCCCTCAAGCCAGTTGTTTCTGTGAGGGATGATTGTTTCGAAGGGGGTATCTGTATACTCCCTCGGAACGCAGTAGTCCGTTTTTGTGGGGACGATTTTGTTTCCATTTAGGATGGACGCATGACCGGTGTGATGTGACACCCATTGGTCAGAGTCTCTAAGACGGATTGCTGCCATTTCTGCCTGCTCCTTACCTGCAAGGTCAAGGCTCTGCAGGCATAGTATAGCATTTAGCGCATCCGTTGGTGTTGTGCTCAAAGCTCCACTGATGCATAGGGCTGCAGTACGCTGCACCTTGCCTAGTTGTTTAGTGATGGTCCCCTTCGATAGGGCAGGCCACCACACTGCGACTCCGTAGAGCAGTATTGGTCTTACTATTGGCTAGGTGAGATCCATTGGACTATTTTTGGGTTCATGCCCCATTTTAGCCCAATGGCCTTCTTGCAAGTGTAGAGGGCTATCGTAGCCTTCTTCACTCTGTCTTTGATGCTCAGGTTCCAGCTAAGCTTTTTATCAATTACCAACCCTAAGTAACTGGCACTGTCGCTGAAGGAGAGCCTGCATCCGTTTAGTATTGGCGGGTTGAGGGACGGGATTTTGTATTTGGTTGTAAACAACACAAGTTCCGTCTTAGAGGGATTGACTCCCAGTCCACGCGACTCTGTCCATTCTGACAGTCGCGCGAGCTTTGCGGTCATTAGATCGCAAAGTGTTTGAAGGAATTTTTCCGAGAAGATAATAGCAACGTCGTCCGCGTATGCTTCCACTTTGCAGCCCTCCCCTTCCAGGTCACACAGAGTCTTGTTGACTGCTATGTTTCATAGAAGGGGAGACAGGACACCACCTTGCGGGGTGCCTCTGTTGACATACCTTGACTGAGTGGACGAACCCATTGATGAAGTCACCGTCCTGCATGTGAGCAATTGATCAATGAGCATCACCATGTGACGATCCACCCCCAGGTCAGTCAGGGCCTCCGTGATAGCCTCTGGTATGACGTTGTTAAAAGCACCCTCGATATCTAGGAAAGCTATTAAGGAGTATTCTTTGACGTGTAGGGATTTCTCTACCGTCGAGATTACTTCATGGAGTGCAGTTTCCGTGGATTTTCCTTTTCGGTAGTCATGTTGTGCGCCTGACAGCCATTGAGGATTTATAGTTGTCCTCAGCTGCAGCCCGACTAGTCTCTCAAAGGTTTTGAGAAGAAAGGACGATGGACTTATTGGTCTGAAGTCTTTTGGGGGTGTGTGTGAGGGTTTCCCTGCTTTGGGGATAAAGACTACTTTAGCCTTTAGCCAAGCGCGGGGGAGTTTTCCCACTGTCAGTATCTTCCTGAAGATACTTTGCAGCCAGTTGATGGCCATGACCCCGGCTTTTTGTAACTGAGCCGGAATGACTTGGTCTGGACCAGGCGATTTGAAGGATTTAAAGCTGTTTACTGCCCAGCTAATATTCCGTTTTGTGAGGATGTGCTCCATCGAGGTTTCCGGGTCTTCACTTGGGGTGTCTGCCGGCTCGATGGTCGTGCACCCAGGGAAATAAGTATCGAGTAGAATATGTAGGGAGTCCTCACTAGAGTTTGTCCACGTACCATCCATTCTCTTGAGATAGGATTTTTGACAGGATCTTGTGTAGCATTGCGGCTTCTGACGTGTCTTCAATTTCGGAGCAAAATTGTTGCCAAGAGGCCCTTTTTGCTCTCCTAGTTTCTTTTTTGTATAGGGCTAGTTTACTTTTGTAATTTTCCCAGTGCGCTTCCTCGTTGCTGCTTTTGGCTCTGTTAAAGAGAGTCCTGCAGTCTTTGCGGAGCGTATCTATTTGTTTAGACCAGTGTTCCGCAAACTTTTTGTGTTCACGGTACAACTATCAAATCCAGAAATTTTGAAGGTACACCAAAGAAAAAAGAAGAAATGTTTATTTAATTTTTATGTATTTCTAGAATCAATATACCAATACATATTTAATTTACATATAATTTACATGTTCAGTGAGAAATGTGAGCCTGTTTAACTGAGCACAGGCGATCAAAATTTGGAGCAATCGTAGATAGGGCTGCTCGATTCTCCTCAGTTATCGTTCTCAGGCGTTCTCTTTTTTTCGATTTGATTGTAGTGAGAGTTGAAAATCCAAGTTCGCATAAGTACGTTGTGGGAAATGGTAATATAGTCGCAACAGCCCGTTTTGAAAGCAGTGGATACTCATTTTTTATATACAGCCAGAAATGTGCTGAGTCAATTTCAGAAAATTTTAATTTTATTGTTCGATCATTCTTTAACTCCATGAATTCTTCCTGCTCCTTTATCGGTAAGTGTCCAAGGTTAATGATATCCGAGAATGGATTTCGTACCCAGTCCATAGGTTGCAGGTCACACTTTGGAAAGTAACAATTCATTTTTTTAGCTAATAGCTCCAAGTGCTTCCCTATCAAAGCCTGCACTTTTTTTTTCTGAATCGGCAGCCATGACATTTGGAAACATTTCCATTGACAGCGTGGCTGATCCATAGCACCAATTTAGCGCGAAAGCTTTCAATTTTGTCCGAAGACGTTAAAATATTGGAGTTTCTGCCTTGCATTTTTCTGTTCAGCTCATTTAAATGAGTGATATGTACGACAGATATTCAAGTTCGGCCACCCATTCTTCTTTTTTAAACACAGAAACATAATCGGAACCCTGGGCCTCTAAAAACGCCTGGGTCTCATTTTTAAGCTCGTAAATCCGAGATAGAACTTTTCCCCGAGAAAGCCATCGTGCTTCTGTAAAAAATAGAAGTCACCGATGATCTGCTCCCATTTCCTGACAGACTGCATTAAACAGACGAGAGTTCAGCGGTCGCGACTTGATGTAATTGAAAATTTTAACAACTTCTTGTAGGACAGACAACAATTCATCAGGCAAAGACTTTGTCATCAGTGCTTACCTGTGCCAAAACAATGTAAATTTTTCCACCTCCCAAACATTTTGGAACTGGGCATGAATCGTCTCCGCAATAAATAAAGCCATAGCTGACATAGCTCTCATCATATTTGCGATAAACAATCTTAGGTTTTTTTTTCGTTGACTCTGCTTCTTCTGGCAATATATTAGTTTCACTTGACAAACTTGCGGTACGTTTAACACATTTTTCCATTATAAAATATTATTATTGGCAATTTATTTGTTATTGAAAAGTCTATTACGATTAATATGAGACTAAATCCACCCCTTTTGCTCGCACGAGTTCAAAACTGAGTAAAAATCTGGAAAAATATTTAGAATTCGCTTGCATGTTTGAGCACGCAAAGAACCTGCAAGTACATGCATATGTGTGTGTACTTGTGCATAGCACAAGTTTTCCGAGCCGAAAACATAATATGTTAATGCCTTTTCTTCTTTTGAGAAAAAGCTTTTGCGATTGCTTGGTTGGAAAGTACAATAATTATCTTCTCTGTATTAATCTTAATATTTAATTTCTTAGTAGTATGTATTTATTTAAATATTAAATAACAGTGTAAATACCAAAAGTATTTTCGTGCCCCAACCTTAGTTTCGGTAATCAAAATATCAGGCAGCTCGTTTGCTGAGCACACATACATACATGCATACTTATGCATGCTTGGATACGTATGTATTTCAAATATCATTACTTATTGACATGAATACCCTAATAAAAATTGTTCTTATTTAAAGTCATGTTCTTCATATAATTTTTATTCAAAATAAACTGTTAGTTACTATTCGTACAAGAGTTGTGATTAACTGGTTAAATAATAAATTAACTATATTCTCTGTATTCCTATTTAATATTTTGACCGATGACCACGGTACACCAGTGTGCCGCGGCACACGCTTTCCGGAACACTGGTTTAGACCACAATGGGGGTTTCTTTTTCCCTCTTGGTTTGGTTGAGGGGCAAGCTGCCACGAAGGGCATTTTGGTGCTAGGGGGGGGGAGTAATTCCTCCATTTTTGCACTATATATATCCCAGTTGGCTTTCCTGGGGTTAATATAGTTAGTAGGTTTGGTGCTTTCAGGCGATAGGACTGTCTCGATGTACCTGTGGTCGAAGAAGGAGTGGTCCTGTAGGACGACACCAGGTTCAGGCGTGTCCCCTGTAGCTCTAGGCTAGCCGCCGTGTTGTCGCCATTGCTAAAATTGTGGAGCAGAAAGATATTTAGGTGCTTTCTTGCTATTATGCAGTTTCTAATTTTACCTTCAGTTTGGGCTACAATCAGCTTGTAGTCCTTCGTCGCTAGTCCACAGACCTTGCCTCCTACCACCCAAGGCTCTTGGATTAGGACTATGACCCCTCCGCTCGCGACTAAGCGGAGTATTACGGCAGCGGATGCTGCTTTACAGTGGTGGAGATTTATCTGCAGAAGCCTCAGAGACTTCATTAGAGTTGTTCTCCACCATTGTTATGTCGGCGTCAGAGTCGTCGAGAATTTCTTCCCGACACAACGCCTCAAAATCGAGCATCAGCTCCGTCTCCGAGGAGTAGCTCTCCAGGGCCGGCTCCGGGTCTACGTCGGGTGCCTCGATCTCCGAGGCAACGTCCCGCTCAACTGGGTTGTTGACAGGGCGCGCCTCGGCCGCTGCATCCGACTTGTAGACCTTCATGGTCACCGAGCTGAACCCGAAGTTGAGCTCTCCCTTGGCTGCCTCGATCGGGGCTAGTGACTCCTTATTTAGGATTATCTCTGCCGGGTTAATGGGGTCTTTCGATGCCTCCACTTTGACCACCTTCCAGTCTGAGGTTGGCAGTGTTGGGTTGCATCTCTGCAACATCCTGAGGATCCGCTCGAGCTCCTTAAAAGTGGCCGGCACCCATATACGAGCCCTTGGTCTACTGTGCACCTCGCTCCAGTCCACAGCGACGAGCTTCGCCCCAGCGTAGACTTCTCCGATTTGCGCCACCGCAGCTTTGTATAGCTTCACGGAGCGCTCATCTTCGCAGGCTACCACTTTGATGCTTCCCTGGAACCATCCCATGTCCCATCCCATGTCCCATCCCATCCCATGAGGTGGCCCAGGATCCTTCTCGAGAAGCTCGAAGCAGCGGTTGGCCAGTGCCGCTTCCACCCTCTACCATTGGCTTCTAGGTACTACGCCTATCAGCGTCCTCTCCTTGGCAATCTGCGCGAAAGATACGTTCGGTAGCACTCTGGAGGGCTTCGCGGCAGGTCCGGGCGTCTCCTGCGAACGCTACCTTTTCGGTTGTGCAGCCACCTTCTGTGGCTCCACACTGAAGTTGGGCAGCACCGCCGAGGCCCATTCCACCTTTTTCAGCCAGTCTGCTGTTGGACTGACTTCTTTGCTGTCGTTCTACCGACGGAGTATGTGCCCAGCACTCCTCTTTTCGGCATAGCTGAATTTTTTGGCTTGAACACTGGTTGATGGCAAGCCATCACCCGCAGCTTCACCGGAAGGTTGGGCAGCCGCAATATTGCTTCCAGCTGAAGCACACCGGCACTGGCATTCTGTCGATTTCCAATGCGGGCGCCAACACCAATGGATCCCAGTTCTTCGTTTGCACCGTGAAGACCGCTTGGTTGGACAACAAGCATGTTGTCTTTGGCGAGGTGGTTGAGGGCTTGGACATTGTCAAGGAGATTGAATCTTTTGGCTCTCAGTCCGGCAAGACCTCCAAGAAGATCATGGTGGCTAACTGTGGTTAGCTTTCCACCCATCCCAGATTTGGGATGGTTCATACCCGCGTCTTCCACCGTGCAGGTCTTTTCTGCATCTGAGCGGATCGGACCAGGCCTTTGGACCGCTGCCTTCTCCCGCTTGGGATTTTTCCCAGCCGGCATTTGGGGAGTGCCTTTCTCGTTTTTGTTTTCGTTTTTGTATTTGTATTTCTCCATATGATTCCCACGAGCTGCAGAGAAGGGGAACGGTCCACCCCGGCAGAGCCCAACTTTACCCGGGTAAGGCATGTTGGGGCTGGGATGTAGGTAGGTAATGTGTAGGGATGGGAGTGTGTGAGCTACTTAATGAGAGACGGCACCACAAGCGCATCGTCAGTGTTGCTGCGTCGCGAACACCCGCTGGCTGTCCGGGACTGCTTATTTCGGTACTCTCCCTCAGAGCCAACTTAGTTGCTTCTCTTTGGGATGCCCGCTTATTCGCAGCTGACCTACCCACTAGGGTAGGCCGATCGCCATCCGCAGCCTGCGACCCGTCCGGTGGCCTCAGCTGGGCCCCCTCTGAGCCACCTCAAAGCCCAATAGGATCATCGGACACGCCTGAGATTACAAGCACGACATTGGACAAAACATTAGAGAACACAACACGCTGTGTGCGGCTTGACAGATACGACGATATCCAATTTACTTGGAGGAAAACCTAACTGAGAGAATTTATGGATCAGAAAAGTATGATTAACAGAATCAAAAGCTTTGCTGAAATCAGTAAAAATTACGTCAGCTTTCAAGCAGCTTTGAAAGCCTCGGTTGATTAGAGACGAGAAGTCTATAAGGTTAGTCGATGTTGATCGATGACTAAGAAAACCATGTTGCGACGGGGATATTGAACTACGACATGCGTTTTGCAATTGACGATAGCAATAGCAGAAAGTTTAGCAATACCGCGGTAGTTTTCAACGTTAGATCTAGACCCTTTTTTGTGAAGAGGAATAAGGTAGGATTCCTGCAGAGAAACAGATGTCAATCGATGACAATCCTTCAAAATCAGCGCTTTCTTCAAATAAGGGAAGAACTACGTTGTTAACATGAGGAAGATGGTAGGGATAAGGGGTGGATGAGTCGTAAGTATGAGATGAATACGTCGATTGAAAGAAGGCGGCAAATAAATTTTAAGTACCTTGAGCTGACGTTTCTGTTTTATCCAGTAAATGAAGAGAAGGGAGGAACGCGTTAGACTTACGTTTTGAGTTGACGAACGAAAATATTTTTTTGGGATCAGTACGGAAATTTGTACTACATTGGGAAAGATAAAGGTTATAACATTGACTATTGACAGTAAGAAATTTAGAGCGAACATACGAGTATTGAGCAAAGTCAGATATAGAACCAGTTCTCTGGTACTTTTTATATAGCCAGGATTTTTTATTTTTTAGGTAGGACAGATACTTGGAGAACCAGGGAGGTTTTGAGGATACCTGAACGGTAACTTCAGGTGTTGAGAGCAGAGTTTAACGTGTCATAAAACGAGTTGACTATTCCGTTTATATCTGATAACGACTGAAGAAAGGACCAATCAATTTGCAAAAAATGTAAACTTAAATCGGTGAAATTCGTTTTACGAAAACACTTTATTCGATTTGTTGAAGGTATAATGGAATTAAATTTAAAATGCAAGTTTACCGGTCTTTTCTGGTGTGTGTGTAAAAGTTGAGCTCTCCCTTGGCTGCCTCGATCGGGGCTAGTGACTCCTTATTTAGGATTATCTCTGCCGGGTTAATGGGGTCTTTCGATGCCTCCACTTTGACCACCTTCCAGTCTGAGGTTGGCAGTGTTGGGTTGCATCTCTGCAACATCCTGAGGATCCGCTCGAGCTCCTTAAAAGTGGCCGGCACCCATATACGAGCCCTTGGTCTACTGTGCACCTCGCTCCAGTCCACAGCGACGAGCTTCGCCCCAGCGTAGACTTCTCCGATTTGCGCCACCGCAGCTTTGTATAGCTTCACGGAGCGCTCATCTTCGCAGGCTACCACTTTGATGCTTCCCTGGAACCATCCCATGTCCCATCCCATCCCATGAGGTGGCCCAGGATCCTTCTCGAGAAGCTCGAAGCAGCGGTTGGCCAGTGCCGCTTCCACCCTCTACCATTGGCTTCTAGGTACTACGCCTATCAGCGTCCTCTCCTTGGCAATCTGCGCGAAAGATACGTTCGGTAGCACTCTGGAGGGCTTCGCGGCAGGTCCGGGCGTCTCCTGCGAACGCTACATTTTCGGTTGTGCAGCCACCTTCTGTGGCTCCACACTGAAGTTGGGCAGCACCGCCGAGGCCCATTCCACCTTTTTCAGCCAGTCTGCTGTTGGACTGACTTCTTTGCTGTCGTTCTACCGACGGAGTATGTGCCCAGCACTCCTCTTTTCGGCATAGCTGAATTTTTTGGCTTGAACACTGGTTGATGGCAAGCCATCACCCGCAGCTTCACCGGAAGGTTGGGCAGCCGCAATATTGCTTCCAGCTGAAGCACACCGGCACTGGCATTCTGTCGATTTCCAATGCGGGCGCCAACACCAATGGATCCCAGTTCTTCGTTTGCACCGTGAAGACCGCTTGGTTGGACAACAAGCATGTTGTCTTTGGCGAGGTGGTTGAGGGCTTGGACATTGTCAAGGAGATTGAATCTTTTGGCTCTCAGTCCGGCAAGACCTCCAAGAAGATCATGGTGGCTAACTGTGGTTAGCTTTCCACCCATCCCAGATTTGGGATGGTTCATACCCGCGTCTTCCACCGTGCAGGTCTTTTCTGCATCTGAGCGGATCGGACCAGGCCTTTGGACCGCTGCCTTCTCCCGCTTGGGATTTTTCCCAGCCGGCATTTGGGGAGTGCCTTTCTCGTTTTTGTTTTCGTTTTTGTATTTGTATTTCTCCATATGATTCCCACGAGCTGCAGAGAAGGGGAACGGTCCACCCCAGCAGAGCCCAACTTTACCCGGGTAAGGCATGTTGGGGCTGGGATGTAGGTAGGTAATGTGTAGGGATGGGAGTGTGTGAGCTACTTAATGAGAGACGGCACCACAAGCGCATCGTCAGTGTTGCTGCGTCGCGAACACCCGCTGGCTGTCCGGGACTGCTTATTTCGGTACTCTCCCTCAGAGCCAACTTAGTTGCTTCTCTTTGGGATGCCCGCTTATTCGCAGCTGACCTACCCACTAGGGTAGGCCGATCGCCATCCGCAGCCTGCGACCCGTCCGGTGGCCTCAGCTGGGCCCCCTCTGAGCCACCTCAAAGCCCAATAGGATCATCGGACACGCCTGAGATTACAAGCACGACATTTGACAAAACATTAGAGAACACAACACGCTGTGTGCGGCTTGACAGATACGACGATATCCAATTTACTTGGAGGAAAACCTAACTGAGAGAATTTATGGATCAGAAAAGTATGATTAACAGAATCAAAAGCTTTGCTGAAATCAGTAAAAATTACGTCAGCTTTCAAGCAGCTTTGAAAGCCTCGGTTGATTAGAGACGAGAAGTCTATAAGGTTAGTCGATGTTGATCGATGACTAAGAAAACCATGTTGCGACGGGGATATTGAACTACGACATGCGTTTTGCAATTGACGATAGCAATAGCAGAAAGTTTAGCAATACCGCGGTAGTTTTCAACGTTAGATCTAGACCCTTTTTTGTGAAGAGGAATAAGGTAGGATTCCTGCAGAGAAACAGATGTCAATCGATGAAAATCCTTCAAAAACAGCGCTTTCTTCAAATAAGGGAAGAACTACGTTGTTAACATGAGGAAGATGGTAGGGATAAGGGGTGGATGAGTCGTAAGTATGAGATGAATACGTCGATTGAAAGAAGGCGGCAAATAAATTTTAAGTACCTTGAGCTGACGTTTCTGTTTTATCCAGTAAATGAAGAGAAGGGAGGAACGCGTTAGACTTACGTTTTGAGTTGACGAACGAAAATATTTTTTTGGGATCAGTACGGAAATTTGTACTACATTGGGAAAGATAAAGGTTATAACATTGACTATTGACAGTAAGAAATTTAGAGCGAACATACGAGTATTGAGCAAAGTCAGATATAGAACCAGTTCTCTGGTACTTTTTATATAGCCAGGATTTTTTATTTTTTAGGTAGGACAGATACTTGGAGAACCAGGGAGGTTTTGAGGATACCTGAACGGTAACTTCAGGTGTTGAGAGCAGAGTTTAACGTGTCATAAAACGAGTTGACTATTCCGTTTATATCTGATAACGACTAAAGAAAGGACCAATCAATTTGCAAAAAATGTAAACTTAAATCGGTGAAATTCGTTTTACGAAAACACTTTATTCGATTTGTTGAAGGTATAATGGAATTAAATTTAAAATGCAAGTTTACCGGTCTTTTCTGGTGTGTGTGTAAAATCAAAATTTAATTAAGAAAAACAAAAAGAAAAATAATTTCTTTGGAAAAAAAGATTTGTTTAAGAAAACAAAAAGCTAATAATCCAGCCCAGAGTTTAAGCCGCGGGACCCCGGATAGGAAGACTTGACTTGTCCCACCAGACCACATTGCGATCTGATTACTGTAGGCATAATTTAGCCTTTTTTCCTCTTGACTCTTTCTTCGTGCTTTTGAGTTTTGCATTTTGAGTCTTGCCTTTACCCTCTTACCCTCTTCCCCTCTTGCCACTTCTCTTTTGCGGTTCAACAAACTTTTAATTTTCGATACTTCTGGTGGGAGCATCAAATATCGGTTCGTTAGCGGAAATCATTGGCCGAAAAGGAACAATCTAAAAAGCAGGTCGCTGTAGCCAACGGTATAGACTGTGGGTTGTTGATTCCAAAAACAGCACTACACAAATATGTATATAGATAACACTATAAAAGAAATGTTAAGTTCTGAAACGATTTACCACTAATACATATAAGCACAGGACAAAAAAATATATTTTTTATTAAATACATACAACTATGATCAATATAAATAGTTATTTAAATAAAATTCGCACACATTTAAGTTTCACTTAGCTTAACCAAATGCAATAAAATGGCGACAAAATGTACTTAGGTATGAACAGAAAAGTTTCGTGGGATTTACTGGGTCGGAAACGGTTTTTCTCTGCATTACACACATCCACTTTTACCACAAATCTAACAAACCCCTTAAGTCTTGGAGTACGGGTAAGCAAATTTGAACCAAATATGGGTACTGTTTCGAGGAGGATATCAAAGTATATCACCTTGACACAAATATATATGAAAACGAGAAATTGGCTTTCTATATATGTTGTACGTTTTAATTATGTTTGTGGTCGGAGCTGCACTACTTCCCTCTGAGCTCAGAAACTGCAGCAGCAGCCAAAAGCTCAGCAAGAGCGCAAGATTTGTGGTAAAAGTGGGTGTGTGTAACGCAGAGAAGGAAACGTTTCCGACCCCATAAAGTATATATATTCTTGATCAGCATCAATAGCCGAGACGATATAGCCATGTCTGTCTGTCTTTTGATGAGCGCCTAGATCTCAGAGACTATAAGAGCTAGGGCAACCAAATTTGGCTTCCATTACGCCATTACCATATAACTGGGAGTGTAGCCGGGTTGATAAAAAACTTCGGCTCCAAATGAAGTCAATGAAAACAGCCATTGTATTTTTCAGTGTTCGCTAGAATATGTCGTGGAATAGAATAGAATATGTTCTGGTGTCTCGCCCTGTATCCAGAGCTAGAGAAGTATATGCGTCAAGCTGGCTTTCCACTTGAGATGGGAGCACCACTGCGAGTATTTTACTTTGCGGCTACAAATTTTCTGGCTTGGTGGATGCGTTTGGTGGAAAACATAATTTTGTCTCAGACGGCTATGAACAATAACACTACCCGACACAATTTTTCATCAAGGAACAAGAGGAACTTTTTCTTAAAGATTTAGGGCTTAGAAATGGTTTGAGGAATTATTGAAAATGATTGGAAATATAAAGCATTGAAATGCAAAAATTACGATTTTTATGCGGTATTTTTTACGAAATTAAGATTCAGGAAAAGTCGAAAAAAAATTATATCCTGTGTTCTCTATTTTTTTGTGTATAGGTGCATTAATTAGGCGTCGTTTAAGGTATTGTTTATTAAAATCTATGGAGAAACTTTGGAGCTAAAATTCGTTAACCAAACCTAAAAAATGAAAAAAAAAAAATTAATAAAAAATACCCTTTCGAAGGTTGCGGGCCCAACTGCCAAAGCAAACGAAAAAGGGTTGTACATTTGGTACAAGTGGGTCAAAATGTCGAACCACAATCGAATGATCGGAGCCAGCAACCAACGGAGGCTTACAGCAAATTGCCTTCACTATGTCGCCGACAAAAGGCCATAGTAGAGTCCATAAAACGCATTCTGAGACAATTCTCAGAGGCGGGAGGACGTACATCAAGTGATTTGATAAAATCACTATGGACTCAAGCACAAGAAGTCCATTTTACTATCCACGAGGAATATGATAACCCAGAAGAAGGAGGATACAACATGGAAGCCTACCTGACCCTGGAAAAAGAGGTTCAAAGAGCATTGGCAAAACCAGCCACATCAAACAATAATGACGTGCAGCTTCCACGGATCAACATTCCCAAGTCTGATGGGGACATACTAAAATGGTCCCAGTTCTATGACCTGTTTTCATGTATGATACATGAAACAAACATGCCCACAGTTCGGACGATGTGGTATCTAAAAACAACCGTAACTGGAGAGGCAGAAAGATTGATCCGACATATCGATCTAAAGGAAGAAAATTATTTGAGCGCCTGGGAAATTTTGATTGAACCGCTTCCTAAATTATAACACAGTTAATGACGACTCCAAGTCATTAAAAGAGTTGTACGTTACAACTATCGAATCCCTGGCATCACTAAAGGGATTGGGCATCAATATATCCACATGGGATCTAATATTGATTACTGTCATCAAAAATAAGCTGGATGTCACTAACAGAGCCTTGTACGAGCAATCATTGGGAAGCTCAAAGGAAATACAGGCCTTGGACACAATGCTTCAGTTCCTAGCACAAAGAGTTCGAGTTCTAGGAACAGGCAAAAAGACGCAAATGTCAAGGAAAGAGCCAAAAGGCACAACATGTGCAACAGTAAACACTGGATAATCGAAGACGCCTCTCTGCTCATTCTTCAAGAAGGCAAGCCATTGGCTCTACGGATGCGATGAGTTTCGCTCCAAATCACCATCAGAACGACTAAATTGGGTACAAAAGCAGAAATTGTGTGTCAACTGTTTTAAAACAAGCCACAAAACAAATGCATGCCCAGGTCGGACATGTTTCAAGTGCGACAAAAAACACAATACACTGCTGCACTTGGGCATACCATCGGGCGTAAGTACAGAACCAAGAGCACCGACTGTTGGCGCAGCAAGTAACAATAATTACAACCTGTTAGCTACAGCAAAAGTAGCAGTAGAAGCAAACAATGGACAGAGAGCCAATTTCAGAGCCTTGCTAGATTCAGGATCACAGATCAACCTGATCTCTGAACGAATGGCATCAATGTTGTCAGTAAAACTTAATGATACAAAAATACGCATCGAAGGAATTGGAGGTCAGTCAAAGACCAGCAGAGCACGAGTAAATGTTCTAGTAAAATCGCTTCCCGGCGGATTTACGCAAAGAATGAAGCGTACTACCTCAGATAATTGCTGATCAACCAGCGCAGGCACTCGATGAAATGAACTTGAACATACCAAACAATTGCC